AACGCCTGCCCGCCCGCCGCAGTCGGTGGGAGGGGAGTGAGAGGCAGAGGGGGTGAGGGAGAGGGGGGAGATTGAGGGGGAGAGAGAGAGCAGAGCAGAGCTATTTTTAGCACGTTTCCGCAGTGACAAGCCGCCAGTGAGCTGTGTAATGCATTCATAACCCAAAGGGACTACGCTAGTTTTGCCCCCACCCCCCACCCCTGTTTCCTTATTTCTCTGCCTCCCCTCTGTCTCGTTCAACTCGGTGTGTACACGTCTGTGCCACCGTGTTTGTCCGTCTCTGCGTGTCCGCCTGCAAACCGTCTCTCTCTCGCCCTCGCTCACACACGCGGAGACAGACAGACAGACCCCTCCTCCACTCTCCCTCCCAGTCTCCCCTCGTGTAGCCCACACAGGCCGTTTGGGGCAAGTGCTGTTAGCGAGCGCGCACACCTACGAAGGCCGGCACGACGCGCAAGCAGGGGTGGATGCGTGGCCATCGCCGTGCCCGGCTGCCTTTGTCTCCCCCTTTACGATGTTCGCACGCGCGCACCGCGCCGGGTACCGGTTCGACCGCGGAGTCGCGACAGGGGTAGGGCCCGGAACCAGTTCAGTCGAGATATTCGCCACTCACGTTGGCCATGGCCGAGGATTGAACTCAGGTTGCTGGTTGCCTAGCGTAGCGCGCCAGCCACTGCGCCGCCGCTCTCCTTGTACACGTCAATGGCACGCACATTCCCTGTTTCTGCCAGTGCCTCAGGGACTGGGTTGGGGTCGCGCCCTCCGCGTGGGTCGGGGGTCGCGCCCTCCGCGTGAGTCGGGGGTCGCGCGCTCCGCGTGGGTCGGGGGTCGTGCCCTCCGCGTGGGTCGGGGGTCGCGCCCTCCGCGTGGGTCGGGGGTCGCACCCTCCGCGTAGGTCGGGGGTCGCGCCCTCCGCGTGGGTCGGGGGTCGCGCCCTCCGCGTGGGTCGGGGGTCGCGCCCTCCGCGTGGGTCGGGGGTCGCGCCCTCCGCGTGGGTCGGGGGTCGCGCCCTCCGTCCGGCCATGGCAGGGCAGATTGCACCCAGCGGTTCCCGTCGCCCTGTTCGCCCGCCCGCCCGCCCGCCCGCCCGTCCGTCCGTCCGTCCGTTTAGCTTTCCTTTCCTTCTTTGTATCCATCTGCTTGCGTGTGTCTGTTTGGGGGAGTGGTACTGCAACTTCGATTCCCGAATATCTGAAGCTCCCATTTGCCTCCTCTAGATTGACAAAGCCTTAAAACCTAATACCTGGTGCGGGACATCTAAACTTGAGAGCTGGGGCGACAAAAGCGGCCGCGGGTGGTGTTGGGCCACCCTCACCCCCATCGAGCACCGTGCCGGGCCTTCATAGGTGCTGCTCGTTAACAGCCCTTGCCCCAACATCCTGTTAATGCTATCCGGAAGGTGGTGGGGGGGATATTTCTCTTTTGTGAGTGTCCGTCTCCCTCTGTCCGGCTGTCCGTGCATCTGTCCGTCGGTTTGTGCCGTCAGCCGCTTGAGCAGCGGGCGGCCCCGGTGGCCCCGGTGGCCCCGGTGGCCCCGGTGGCCCCGGTGTCGTTTGCGGCGGATGAAATTGTGTGAACGGAGAGTAAACGGCGACGGCGGTGGTCGGCTTTCGTGAGCCGCTCCTCCCCCGGTCGTCCACTCGAATGGCCGGCACTTTTTCGCGACGCTCTCGCCGTCGGCGTGGCGCCAGTCCTTGTGCGAGGGGCGCCGTGTTGCACAAGCGAGCACAGCCGGCAGTAGTTATTATAAACTATTTAAACTAGAAACCATTTTTTTTTATTTTACCGGGTTAGGCCCCACTGAGCGATGTAGCTCTTATTTTCAGAAGCAACCTGGCCACCTCAAATGATAGCTCAACGAAGCAGCTTATCATCACGTGGAAATTTACAGCAGCCAAATACTCTTCAACGCATGATGTTGATCCTCAACGTGGAGGGAAGACCACGGTGAGAGAGAGGTAGAGAGACGCGCAAACTCCAAATATAGAACAAGCGTCAGGGTCGCGATTGAATCCACAACCTCCTGTATACCGGGCGAGGTAGTTAACATCTCCTGGCCACCGTGATGATGAGGCGTCAGGGTCGCGATTGAACCCACAACCTCGTGTATACCGGGCGAGGTAGTTAACATCTCCTGCCCCAACCCCCAGCAGCAAGGTAAAGTTACAAATTTGAACCGAGACGCCAGCGCAACGATGGGCCCCCCCCCACTCTCTTTAATAACGTCAGTTCGCAAAGCGGACACGGCGCCGTGGTATTTTTCACGGTTAACGCGCGCAGTATTGACCAGGGCGGCCTGCCGGGTTGTGAATCGTGCGTGAAGCGCGCGCCCCTCCTGGGCTGCGCCGACAAGGTGGGCGGTTTAGCGTGCCGCTGACGAGCCGCCGATGCGACGGAAAGATTTTTTTTTTTGGAATCGTCGTTGCCAAATCGCAGGCCCCGAGATGTGAAGTGGTTCGGCAAACAAACGGCGCTATTGAAGGTGAAATAGATACGGGCGCAACGCGTTCATTTAATTGAGCTGGGTTACTACGCGGGAACTTTTGGCCGGGGGAAAGAGTCGACGGGGAGAGAATTCCAAAGTGGACACGGTGCCAGGGAAGAAGCAGAAAGAGAAGCGTTGTGACCTCCTGTAGTGTGGCGAGTTGCGTGAGCGGGTGGGTGGCGGTGAGTGTTTGAATAATTGGTGAGTGGATGAGTGAATCGGTAAGTGGTGAGTGCTGTGGTGATTGAGTGTGTGAATAAGTGGTGAGTGGATGAGTGAATCGGTAAGTGGTGAGTGCTTTGGTGATTGAGTGTGTGGATGAGTGAATCGGTAAGTGGTGAGTGCTTTGGTGATTGAGTGTGTGAATAAGTGGTGAGTGGATGAGTGAATCGGTAAGTGGTGAGTGCTTTGGTGATTGAGTGTGTGAATAAGTGGTGAGTGGATGAGTGAAGGAGTAAGTGGTGAGTGCCTGAGTGAATAAGTGGTGAGTGAATCAGTAAGTGGTGAGTGCGTGAGTGAATAAGTGGTGAGTGGATGAGTGAATCGGTAAGTGGTGAGTGCTTTGGTGATTGAGTGTGTGAATAAGTGGTGAGTGGATGAGTGAAGGAGTAAGTGGTGAGTGCCTGAGTGAATAAGTGGTGAGTGAATCAGTAAGTGGTGAGTGCGTGAGTGAATAAGTGGTGAGTGGATGAGTGAATCGGTAAGTGCGTGAGTGCCTGAGTGAGTGTGTGAATGGGTGAGTGAGTGTTTTGACGCCCAGGGTGGTGGGGGTTGAGCGCATTGTGGATGAGATGAAGGAATGTCTGATGGACACTTCCCCCACACACTGTTGGAGGGAACGTCACGGGAACAGTAACCATGGTAGTAGTAATACGAGAGTGATACGGAGGTGACGGACTGGCAGATTTGCAAAGCCAACCGGTGGTTATTATTGCTGTTGTTCCTGCTGTTGAATCGGTGTCATGTTAAACTTGGGGAGCTGTGCAAGACCCCTCGGAGTAGAGGGAGAGGGGAGAGTGCGTGGGGGAGAGTTGAGTGAGATGAGAGGGGAGAGTGGAGTGAGATGAGAGGGGAGTGCGTGGGGGAAGAGTGGAGTGAGGATCCATGGAGAGGCTGGATGTTCGATTTCCCAGTGCGGTAGTTATAGTACGGAAGCATTTTTCTTCAATCCCCCGCTTCGCCCCCTCCCAACGCCCCCCCCCCTACTCCCACCGGCCACTGTCCATCCAGCACCACAGTCGCATGGCTGGCCAGTGTGGAAGAGCAGGCCAGATGTTACGTGGAGGATCTTTCCAGAGCACTTGAGAGGGTCCTTCTGCCAGCAGTGGAGTGAACAAGCCGTTGCAGGGCTGCACCTTTGCCTTTTAAGAAAACCTCAAGAGGGAACTACAACTTGGTCCTCCCTGGTCCCTCCCCCCCTCAACTCCTCACCCCCCCCCCAACGCCTCGCCTCCCCCCCACCCAACTCCTCACCCCCAACACCCCCCCCCTCAAATAATGCCCCACACCCCTACCCACCGTCCCCCCCCCCCCCCCGTAGCCCCCCCCCCCCACGCTCTGTTAATGATTGATGTGTGATGCTGTAGGCGTCGCCGCGGCAACCGAGCGGTTGATACGGTGACGCCGAGCGGGTGGGCGTGCTTGGGGTAGCCCTCGGCAACGGGGGTGATGGGTGGGGCGGTGGGGGGGGGGCGGTTGTGCCGATGGGGCCCCTGCCTTTGTTTACGGATGTTTCGACTTTTCCGCGTGCCCTCTGTTTTCATCTCTCCTCCTCCTTCTCCTCCTTCTCCTCCTCTTTCTCTCCTCTCTCTCCCTCTCTCCCCCGGCCCTCTTGTCGTCGGCGGCGGCGGCGGCGTCGCGCGAGCGGGAACGTGCGTTCGCGGCGGACGAGCAAACACGGTGGTACCCGCTCCGGCGCCCGTGTTTGCCGCGCGAGCGTTGCCATGGCGATTGTTTTGCTGTAGGTACAGTACCACGCTGTCGCCCCCCCCCCCCCGCGCGCCCTCCCCCCTCCCGACCGCACCTGTGCAGGTGTAGGTTCGGTGGTGGGGGGAGGCGGGCGGCGCCCCGCGCAGGCGCCAGAAGTGCAGGAGGTGGTGGAAGGGGAGTGCAGGGTGGTGAAGGGTGGTGAAAGGGGGAGTGCAGGGTGGTGAAAGGGGAGTGCAGGGTGGTGAAGGGTGGTGAAAGGGAGTGCAGGGTGGTGAAAGGTGGTGAAAGGGGAGTGCAGGGTGGTGAAGGGTGGTGAAAGGGGAGTGGAGGGTGGTGAAAGGTGGTGAAAGGGAGTGCAGAGTTAATGCAGGGATGTGCAGCAGGTGAAGGGGAGTGCAGGGATGTGCAGGAGGTGGTGAAGGGGAGTGCAGGGAGGTGCAGGAGGTGGTGAAGTAGAGTGCAGGGTTAATGCAGGGAGGTGCAGGAAGTGGTGAAGAGGAGTGCAGAGTTATTGCAGGGAGGTGCAGGAGGGTGCTGTGGGAGCTGGGTGGTTGACGTTGCCTGCGTTTTGCTTTCTGCCTTTCAGCTTCCTGGACAGAATAGACGTCATCAGTCAGAGCAACTACTCACCCACCGACCAGGTGAGGCCACAGCCTCCACCACCACACTCCGCTCGCCCCCTCGCGCTCGGCCTGCTCACTCTCACCCAACGAGTACTCGGCAAACCCACGTGCCGCCAACACTCGCCCAATCCGTACTCACCGGCACTCGCCCACGCTCACCCAAATCGCCCACTTGCCCGGGGCCATTGCTCACCCAACTCACGCTAACCCAACTTGTACTCATCCAATCCCCACGCTCACCCCTCCCACGCTCACCTAACCAACACTCGCCAATCCCCACGCTCACCCCTCCCACGCTCACCTAACCAACACTCGCCAATCCCCACGCTCACCCCTCCCACGCTCACCTAACCAACACTCGCCAATCCCCATGCTCACCCCTCCCACGCTCACCTAACCAACACTCGCCAATCCCCACGCTCACCCCTCCCACGCTCACTTAACCAACACTCGCCAATCCCCACGCTCACCCCTCCCACGCTCACCTAACCAACGCTCACCAACCCCACGTGCACCCCACCCAGTCCGTGCCCAAGGGGTGTTTGATACGAGGCCATTGTTGAGTTGGGTGGTGAGCAGGGGGGCGGGGGTGGGGGTAGTGGAGGGGAGGTGTGTGTGTGTGGGGGGTGTTTTGGTTAATGCGCGTTGGTTAGTATCGGTTGTGTGTCGGCTAGTTATCGGCGGTGATTCGATTCGTGTAATCGCAGTGCGCGTTCGTTTGTACGAGTAGTGCCCTTTGGGGGCGAGTGTATTGGCAGGTCATTGTATTGGTACTTTGTGTTGTTGGCCGGTGCGTGCGAGCGTGCGTGCGTGCGGCCTGGGAGAGCGGGCGGGTGTGTTTGTAGCCGCACGAGCGACGCCTGCTGAAGTTGAGACGCACACGCGCGTTCAGTGGCGCGCGTCACGTGCGCACGCCCGCTCCCTCGCCCGCCCGCCCGCCCGTGTTTATATACAAACCCGCGGGTATATCATCATCATCATCATCGCTGTCGGTGCCGTGCCTGGTGGCGCCAGCGTGATCCCACCTGGAGCTCGTTCCGTCGGGGCTGTGGAGGGGAAGGGAGGGTTGGGGGTGGTGGGGGAAGGTGGTGGTGGGTGGTGGGGTGGGGGGGGGCTGGTGGGGGGACGCTGGTGCTCGCTGGCCCCTCCCTGGTACCGTCGGCACGGCGCTCGGTGTTAGTCCGAGCGCCGTGTCGGCGGTGAAGACGGGGGACACGCACGGCGCGGACGAGCGGTGCCGGTGCCGCCGTGTGCGGTTGTGCGTTTGCATGTTGTTGTAGGTATACGTGTGTGTGCGTGCATGCTGTAGCGTGTCTGTGCGAGGGAGTGGATATATTGGTGTTTGTGTGTGCGCGCGCGCGTTGTGTTGTATATGTGAGTGTGCGAGTGCGTGTATGCGTGTACTTAGGAGTGTACGTGCGTGCCGCTGTGCGCATGTTGTGTGTGTGGTTGCATGCGTGCGCACGTGTGGGGTGGGGAGCGGTCGAGTATCCATCGGCGTGCTGCGCTACGAACCTGGTTGCTCGAGTTCGATTCCAGCTCGTGGCCAAAACCGGTGACGAATATCTCAACCCGCCCTGGGCCTCCCCTAGGTCGACTCGGCCTTAAAGCGAGTACCCAGTGCATTGTGTAAACATTAGCACCGGGTCGATAAAGGTGGCCGGGCGTGGTGCTGGCCACCCACTCCCTCGTGTGCCGTGCCGGCCTTCACAGGTGCTGCTCGCCGACAGCACTTGCCCCAACAGGCTGTTGAAGGACACCCGGGGGGGATCTTTTTCTTCGTGTGTGTGTGTGTGTACAGGATCTACTGCGGTGCCGAGTTCTCACATCGGGGATTTACGAGACGAGGTTCCAGGTGGACAAGGTGAACTTCCAGTGAGTACGAGCGCAGGCGGCACCGGAGACACTCACGGTTGGGAACGGGGGGAGGGGGCCGGAGGGGTGGGGGTGGGGGGGCTTTGGAGGTGGCAGGGCAGGCGAGGGGGGGGGCAATCGCCCCTATTCCCCCGAAAATTGGTATGTTTTCGATACTTACCATTGAAAATATATCGAACGTCCTATTTAAAACGACCCCAACACCCAAGCGTGCCTTCTTCTGGGAAGTTTCTAGATCCATGTCTGGTTAGGGCCCACCACTGCTGTTTTGGGTGCTTCCTTCAGGTGTGCGTGCGTGCATCCGTGTGCATGCGTGCTTAACCGTGTGCGTGTGTGCGGGGAGCAGAAGCGAAGTGGTTGTCACAGTAGAGGAAGCACAGGTGATGCATCTGCCAGCCATCTCAGTCAGTCAAACCCATGGCACCTGGTTCTTTCCCGTGACTTCCTGCCAGCAGCGAGCCTTCGTCATTCCATGTGGCCTCAGTGTGCACCTAGCCTGGCACAAACACTGCGGTGACGTCACCGCCAGTCGGTGGCGAAAGGTGGCTGCTGTTTTTGTGCGTGTGTGGGGAGCGGTGGTGGTCGCGGTTCACTGAGAACATGGCGACCCGGGTTCGATTCCCACTCACTGCTAGTACAGATTATCTGAACCAGTCATGGGCCTTCCCAAGGTCGACTCGGCCTCAAATAAGTACTTGGTGCGATGTGTTAACATCGGTACTCTGGAGACAAAGGTGGCCGGGTATGGTGGTGGCCACCCACCACCCCCCGTCGTGCGTCGTGCCGACCTTCATGGGTGCTCGCTCTAACAGCACTTGCCCCAACAATCTGTTAAGGTTATGCGGGACAATTAATCTTTGTTTGTGTGACCGTGTGTACGTGTGTGAGCATGCGTGTGTGACCTCGTGAGCGGTGGTGTAGCGGTTAGTGCGCTGTGCTACGAAACCGGCTACCCAAGTTCGATTTCTGCTCACGGCCAACATAGTGACGATTATCGTGCACCAGTCCTGGGCCTCCCCTAGGTTGATTCAGCCTCATGAGGATCTGGTTACGGTGTGTAAACATCGCCATTGGGGAGACAAAGGCGGCCGGGCGTGGTGTTGGCCATCCACCCCTCGTGTGCCGTGCCGGCCTTGATAGGTGCTACTCGCTAACAGCACTTGCCCCAACAGTCTGTCAAGGCTATACGGGGAATCTTTGTCTTTGTGTTTTTTTTCCTATTTTTGGAAGTCGTCTCAATTGGTCAACCCATGGCACATGGGTCTGTCCCGTGACCTGCTGCCAGCAGCGAGCGCCGTGGTGACATCGCTGCAACTTAGCGGCGAACGGCGGTTGTTGTGTGTGTCAGTTGTAGTGATATGTGTGTGTGCGCGCGTGACGGCGTGTGTGTAACCGTGTGTCTGTCTGCCCCCCCCCCTCCTCTGTCTGCAGCATGTTCGACGTGGGTGGACAGAGGGACGAGAGGAGGAAGTGGATCCAGTGCTTCAACGGTACGCACGGACGGGGTGGGGGGGGCGACGAGCCGAGGTCGCGCGGGGGTCGAGACGGAGCGTGTGTGTGAGGAGCGGTAGTGCAACGGTCAGCGCGCTTACGCTACGATCCCAGCTACCCGAGTTTGATTCCCGCTCACGGCCAACACCAGTGACGATTATCTGAACCGGTGCTGGGTCTCCCCCTAGGTCGACTCAGCCTCAAATGAGTACCTGGTGCGGTGTGTAGTAAACATCGTCACCGGGGGAGACAGAGGCGGCCGAGAGTGGTTGCTGGCCACCCACCCCCTCGTGTGCCGTGCCGGCCTTCATAGGTGCTGCTCGCTAACAGCACTTGCTCCAGCAGTCTGTTGCGGGCTACATGGGGGGGGAGGGGGACGGGTGGATCTTTGTTGTTGTTGTTATTTCGTGCTTTTTGTGGCGCGCATGACCACGTGCGTCTGTGCTTGCGCCCGTGTCGGCCCCATTGCAGACGTGACGGCCATCATCTTCGTGGTGTCGAGCAGCAGCTACAACATGGTGCTGCGAGAAGACCCGTCACAGAACCGGCTGAGGGAGTCCCTGGAGCTCTTCAAGAGCATCTGGATAAACAGGTGCCCCCCCCCCCCAGCTCACACCACACACAAACACACAGACTGTTGGGGCAAGTGGCGTTAGCGAGCACTTCTGAAGGCCGGAACGGCACACGAGAGGGTTGGTGGCCAACACCACGCCCGGCCGCCTTTGTCTCCCCAGTGGCGATGACTTTACACACCGCACCAGGTACTCATTTGTGGCTGAGTCGACCTAGGGGAGGCCCAGGACCGGTTCAGATAACCGTCACCGGTGTCGGCCGTGAGCGTGAATCGGGTCGCCGGGTTTGTAGCGCAGCACGCCAACCCGCTACACGACCGCACAAAGACGACACAGCCCCCGTGTGGCCTACAGAGGCTGTCGAGACAAGAACGGCGTGTGCGAGAGAGGGTGGGTGGCCAGCACCGTGCCCGGCCACCTTTGTTTCCCCCGTACTGGTACTCGCCTAAGGGTTGAGTTGATACACGGGAGGTCTCGGGACCGGATTATATATTGGTCACTGACGTTGGCTGCGAGCGGGAATCGAGCTCAGGTCGCCGGGTTCTTAGCGCGGCGCGTTCACCGCTGCGCACACCGCTCCCCGCATATGCACTTACACGCAGGTAAACGCAGGTGCGCCCACATACATGGACGTACATGCACGTACACACACGTACGCACAAGTTGCTGTTACGTGGCAGTGACGGCGGTTGTGCCAGGCTAGGGTGAAGCCATATGAAGTGTCACTGCTGACAGGAGGTTACGGACGGACCCAGGCCTTAAACACATTCGTCAACACTTTGGCCTTAAAAGGGAGAATGTACAATAGGCGACGTTTTGGACAACAGCCCTTATTCAAGAGCACATGCAGGCATCACAATGAGTGGCGCACAGGTGCAGCATCTGGCAGTCATCTCGGTCGGTCATCCCATAGAACCCCTGCGTCTGGCCCTCTGACCTCCTGCCGGCAGAGAGAGAGAGCCTCGTACAATTCGCGCGGCTTCGAAACGCACCTAGCCTGTCACAAGCGCCAGGACGACATCGTTGCCACTCGCCGGTGAACGCCGTTGGTTTTTTGTTGCGTGAGCAGCTTCGAAGACCGGCTGCTGTGTGTGCGTGTGTTGTGTGTTAGCGCGTGTTGTGTGTTAGCGTGTGTTGTGTGTTAGCGCGTGTTGCGTGTGCGCGTGCATGTGCGCGTGCATGTGCGCGTGCATGTGCGCGTGCATGTACTGCCGACGATGACCTTGCGGGTCATAACCACGCATGGTGGTGGTGTGCGTCTGCCGAGATGTTAACTCTCTCGCCTGGTACGCAGGAGGGTCGGGGGTTTGATCCCGACCCTGACGCCTGCTGTATATTTGGAGTTTGCGGTGTCTATCTCCCTGTGGTGGCGTGGAGTTTTCTCCGCGTCCTCCGCTTTTTCCCCTCCACATTTAGAATAAAAATCACGCGCTCGGGAGTATTTGACCGCTGCAATATTTTGCACGCGAGGATAAGCCACTTCCGTTGAGCTGTCGTTCGTGAGAGACAGGTCGCTTCTGAAAGGGAGCTACATAGCTCGGTGGGGCCTTACCTTATGAAAATAAACATAGTTTACTTGAATTTAAAATAAACATGGTTTAGTTGAGTTTAAAATAAACATAGTTTAGTTGAGTTTAAAATAAACATAGTTTAGTTTAGTCCGCTCCCACCTGAGCCGGTGGGGGTGGTGTGGAGGTCGGGGCTGCGGAACGGCCGCCCACGGGGGTCCCCACTTGGCCACCCGCGCCGCCGCTCGCGCCGTCCCGGCGGAACGAGAGAGCCGAGCGGCAGTGGTTGGTGGTTGTTCGGCCTTGGTGGGGGGGCGGGGGGGGCCGCAGTTCCACGGGTGCAGCCGACGGCGAAGCCCGTTAACGAGCCTTAATTGCCCCGGTAATGGTGGGTCCTAATTAAGCGGCAGGGGAGAAGAGGCTGCCGCCGGCCCCTCCTGTCCCCCCGCCGGCCGCCCGCTCGCCCGCCCGCCCACACCACCCCCCCCGGGCGTCCGCGGGCGCTAAAATTACCGCTCCCTTTGCGTCGGCGTGGAGCCGCGCCCGGGCAGCGAGCGCCGTCGCCATGCCGACGTTTCACAACGCCAGGTTAATTGCGCACTTAACGACGTAATTTGCGTTTTGGAGAGGAGACCGGCGGAGCGCTGGGTTCCGCAGGTATTCCGCTCTCCGGGTTTTTTTTTTTTTGCCGTGTTTCTTCGGGCGCGATGACGTCCGAGAGAGTTTCGGCTGCAAGGGGGTGGGGGGGTGGGGGGCGGCTGGTCGCTGAAGAAACTTGCCCGGGCGCGACGTGTGGTAGCCGTACTAGCGAGATGTTAGCTCCCTCGCCTGGTAGACGGGAGGTCGTGGATTCAATTTCCGGTACCCTGACGCCTGTTGTATATTTGGAGTTTGCTTGTTCGCTCTTCCGTCTCCCCGTGGTCGCGTGGATTTTTCTCCGGGTCCTCCGGTTTTTCTCTCCAACGTATTTGGCTGCTGTCAATTTTGACGTGATGATGAGCCGCTTCGTTGGGCTACTATCACTTGTTGGCCAGGTCACTTCTGAAAAAGAGCTAAATAGCTCGGTGGACCTTACCTGGTAAAGTAATAAATAGTTAATGGTGCAGCAAAGCATAAAAACAATAGAATACAAATGCAAAACACACTGTGGGGAAGGTGAATGAGCGATTGGAGTTTTGCTTGCATTGAAAAATTGCACTCCCATAAGGCAATGCGGCCGATGGGATATGTTCAAATGCTTTTTTGCGGCTAGGAAAAGTGGCAAGAAAGAAGGCATATCGTTATTTGGTTACTTATATTCTCAACAACAACGCTTGATAGAATAACCATAATATTAATAATGTTGAGTCTTGTGTAGCTTAGTAGTTCACGTTAGTTGCATCTCTCACAGCCGCCGAGGAAGCTAACAGCCAAGCCAGGTGGTGAGCAGCCGGCGCTACCGACAGTTGCCCAAGCTCTGCAGTCCTCTGTTTATCGGTGTGTTTTCAGCTACGTGAATGGGTGTCAATACATCAATGGCTATTGTGGATCACAAAGTTACGGGAGATAAATAATTCAACCAATTTGCCCTTTCCACCTCTGCAGAGGCGTTGCGGTGTGCGAACAGGAACCGTTGCCAGAAGCTCCGGCGCGCACCTGTTGCGCGGTGCGGCGTGCCGTCGTGTAGCGGCACGTTGCCACCACTCGGTACTGTCGGGGGGGGGGGGGGGGGGCGCGGGGGTGAGGGGGGAGGAAGAATGAAACCGCGGCCCGGTGGCCACGGTTTCACCGCTTTGTGTAAAGGTTCGCGGTTCTAATCGAGCGGCCGCCCTGGTTACAGCTGCGGTTGCGTTCGCCAAATGTAACGCGACTGTGGCGGCGGCCGCCGGCTGCTTCGCTCACGGTGGACGTTAAAGATCCCTCCGAGGGTAGGACGTTGTGCACGTTCGAATTAATGCACGTTTGTGGATTATACACGCATAGCAGCAGTCATCGCTAACCCCCCACCCCCTCCTGGCAGCGAACTCATGCAAACGAGATGCACCTCCGATTTGCACGGTTGGCTACATACAGTATGAAAGAAGTTCAACACAAATTGTGTTCCCCACTGTGCCAACTCTGCGCTTTAGCCTCCCAACGCTCCGCACGTTGTTGTGAGCGTCGCTCCTCTGCCCTCCTTTGTTGCTGGAGGCGTACAACTCCCCAGCAGCATCCTTCACGAACCTCCTCTACAGAAGCTGATCTTGACACTGCTGGTACCAGTCATCGGCAAGTGCAATCGGCTCCACATCCTCTTGTACCGCATCAGTCCATCTCGTCTCTAGCCGGTGCCGCGCCCGTTTAGCTCCATCTATCCGGCCGAACAGCTATCTCATATATACACACACTCATTCACTCCCTCACCATCTCACTCACTCATTCACCCATTCAATCACCCATTCAATCATTCACTCGATCACTAATTCGCTTGCTCCTGCGAATAAGTCTCGTCCCTGGCCTTCCCGGCTTCTCGCATCGCTCCATGGAAATCCGCTTGGAAGCGCTCTGCTGCCGGCGTGAGATCGGAAGAGACACCAGGGGGCGCCCAAGATGCACGTGCAGTGCCGGTGCCCGACTCCCGAAAGCTGCGAGCGCTGGGGTGGGGTGCTGTGGGTTGGGTGGTGCCCACTTTAAACCACTTCCATATACAGAGTTGATCGTCGATTCTCCGGCTTTCAACATTGTCCGGCGGTCCCGGGCCGATCTGGCAAAACCGCTCCAAGGGCTGTAACCAGGCTGGCGATCGGCAGCACCGTGTGCGTGACAAATTGGTAGCTACGCTTGATTTCGGTGTTAAATATCACATAGGGTACAATATACACTACATACATACAACTTAAGCAATTCAAATACAGCAGGTGTGTACATCGCCCCACGCAGAGTCTTCGAGATTGGAGTGGTTAAGTAGGGTACAGTAAATATGGTAACGTTTTAAAAGGCTATGATATTTTTGTTGTTGTTGTAAATTTATGCGAATTTCATATAGTAAACATTGCAAAATTTGACAAAACCTACAAACATAATGTCATGCAAGAATGTGCAAAAATAAGCTATTTTAAATAATAATTCGTGATTATCCGACGTTTTTGAAAGTTCCGTCCCGCACCCTCCCCTTCCCGAAGCCACCGGATATTCGATTATCTACTGTTTAGAGGCTGGCTGCCCATAGCGCCCATCTACCTGTGTGTGTGGATCTGGTGTGGTGTGTGGGGAGCGGTAGTGTAGCGGTTAGCGTGCCACGCTACGAACCCGGCGACCCGAGTTGCGATTCCCGCTCGCGGCCGACACCGGTGACGATTATCTGAACCATTCCTGTGCCTCCTCTGTCGACTCGGCCTCACATGAGTACCTGGTGCGGTGTGTGAAACATCGCTACTGGGGAGACAAAGGCGGCTGGGCGTGGTGCTGGCCAACCCGCCCCCTCCTGCATTGTGCTGGCCTTCATAGGTGCTACTCGTGAAAAGCATGTGCCCCAAACACCCTGTGTAGGCGGCGATCTTTGCCTTATATATAGTGGGGAGCGGTAGAGTAAAGGTGAGCGTACGACTAAATAACAGTGGCGATTATCTGAACCACTCCTGAGGGCTCCCCCTTAGGTGAACTTAAATGATTCCCTGGTGCGGTGCATGAATGTCAGCCCTGGCCGGGTATGGTGTGTGGTGCCATCATAATTGTTTGCCAACAGCACTTGACATAACGATGCACTACAGGGGGGGACCTGTGTGTGTGTGTGTATGGGGTTGCCTCGCTTCATGCGGTAGATATGAACCAACAAGATCCCTCAGATCCTCCGGTTCCGGTCTTTTAGCCATCACAAGGGCCAGGACCAAAACTCACGGAGACCGCGACCTTCAGTGTGCATGGTCCAGCCTGCCAAGGGATCTCGGCTTCGAAATCATTAGGCGGTTTAAAGTAAAATCGAAAAACTCGCCTTTTAAAACTTGCTTTTACGTAAGATTCTTTCATAGTGTCATTTTTTAATATGCCTTCGATAGTAATTTATTATAATGCAGTTTTGTTTTGTATTGAATTTGCTTTAATTCTTCTTGCAATTTAGTGCGTTAACAATGTTTTTTTTAATCTGAATGGCATCCCTTGCATGCAATAGTGCTATAGAAATGAAGACTTGATTGATTGATGGTTTCCAAATAAAAGGGCGCTCAAAGCGAAACTGCACGACACAGCTGGCCCGCGCAGTAGTAGCGCGTACGGTACACGCGCGCACACGCGCAACGTCCGACCGCATCGCCGCATCTGAGCGAATTCAAACCGCATCCAGCATATTTTGGGTAGCAGTAGGTTAGCCCGCACGCGCACAGCGCCGAATCGCACTCGCCGAAACCCGCATAAAGCGAGGGAAACCCGGACACTTGTTTTTTTGCGGGTGGGGCGGCGGAGGTGGGGGGGAGTGGTGGCGCAGCGGTTAGCGTGCCCGCGCTCCCAACCCCGCGTCGAGAACGAGGGAAACCCGTGCACGCACTGCGCCCCCTGCTGCGTGAAGGAAGAAATGGCCACTTGAAGGGGTATTCTTTTGGTGTTGTCCGCGGGGGAAGTCAAACACGTTATTTATTGCCCAAATGCTCATCTTCTGTGTACACAAACGGGCATGTTCACGCACACACACACACATGCGTGTGTACACTCGCGCGCACGTGCGTGTGTGTGGGGAGCTGTAGGCTGCGAACCCGGCGACCCGGGTTCGATTCCTGCTCACGGCTAACACCGGTGACGATTATCGGAACCGGTCCTTAGGTCGACTCAGCCTGCTATGAGTACCTGGTGCGGTGTGTAGTAAACATCGCCACTGGGGAGACAAAGGCGGCCGGCCGTCGTGCTGGCCACCCACCCCCTCGTGTGTTGTTCTGGCCTTCATAGGTGCTCGCTAACAGCACTTGCCCCAACAGTCTGTTACAGTCTATACGGGGGATCTTTGTGTACACGCATCACCCACGCGCCCCGCCACGCAGCTTTGTGATTTTCTCACGACGGTCAAACCGACAGTTTTACATCTCGTAGCTGACATTTTTTTTGCGTGTTTCTGTAGCCAAATAAATTGCAGAAGCAAATTGAATGGCGGTGCGGTTTGTTCGCGTGCAGTCGTTGGTGACCGGGGGGGGGCTGAGATCATCAACTCGCTACGCCCGAGAAGATCCGCTTTAATCTTTTTTGTCACATGCGGTGGCTGCAACTCTGCCCTGGATTGGAACTCGGCAACTTGAGCCATTCTGGCCCCGCACCTCTGAACGGCTGGCTCGTACACGTCGACATTTTTGCGTGCGCGCACTGTTAATCCCCCCCCCCCCCCTCGCCCCTACGAACCCCGGTGACACGAGTTCGATTCCTGCTCGTGGCCAAACAAACATCGGTGACGAACATCTGAACCAGTCGTTGGGCACGCGCTCCCCCCCCCCCGTTATGTCGATTCGGCCTTAAATGAATGCCTGCTGCGGTGGTGTAAAAGCATCGGCGCTGGGGAGATGAAGGTGGCCGGGCGAGGTGCTAGACACACCCCCCCACCTCTGCGCGTTGCCGTGTCGGCCTTCATAGTTGGTTGCTCTCAGCGTTTGCTACCAACTTGTATGTAAAAAGCTAGTGTGTGATAGTGATTGATAATACTCAAAAAGTTCCCCCGTGTAGCCTTAACAGTCTGTTAAGGCAATACAGGGGATCTTCGTCTTTGATAGTACTCAGATGTGCATCTAACATGGACGTCACCGCCACTCAGTGGTCAACGGCGGTTGTTGTTGGTAATCCTGGAAAAATCAAAGGAAGGCCAGAATGCAACGGCGGGGCGACCCTGACCAACCCGTGTAGGGGCACCAGGAACCACTGTGTGAACACGGCCAATACCAGTGATGAAGTTCTGAACCAGTCGTGGGCCCCTGGGTCTGCCGCGTCACCTACCAGTGAGCCTTCCACACGTCACGTGACCCGACCTGGCCTGGCACAACCGCGACCTAGCCTGGCACAGTCGCCGTGGTAACATGATCGCTACTTGGTGGCGAATACAGGCTTTTGCTCTGCGTGTGTGCACTTAATGGTGGGGGGGTGCTGTAGTGTAGTTAGAGCGCTGCGCTATGAACCCGGCGGCCCGCTTTCGATTCCTGCTCACGGCCAACACCGGTGACAATTACCTGAACCGGTCCTGGGCCTCCTCCCCTAGGTCGACTCGGCCTCAAACGAGTACCTGGTTGCGGTGTGTTAACATCGCCGCTCGGGAGACACAGGCGGTCTCGGGCGTGGTGCTGCCCACCCCCACCCCCACCCCCTCTCGTGTGCCCTTCCCGGCCTTCATAGGCGCTGCTCGCTGAACAGCACTTGCCCCAACAGTCCGTTAAGGCTATACGGGGGGGATCTTTGTCTTTTGAACACGTGCGTTGGTTCACATCAGGAGCGGTAGCATTGTGGTTAGCGCTCTGCACGACGGACTCGGCGGCCAGAGTTCCGTTCCCACTCACGACAAATAACGGTAGCGAATATTGGAACCGGTTCTGGGCCCTCCCCCCTTGGATCGACTCGGCCTCAAATGAGTACCTGGGGGCCGTGTGTAAACTGACAGCCAAGAGTGGTCCCGGGCGTGGCGCTGGCCATCACCCCACCTCACAGTGTGCCGTGCCGGCCTTCATAGCTTCTATGAAGGTGGCGAGATGTTAACTACCTCGCTAGGTATGCAGGAGGTCGTGGGTTCGACCCCGACCCTTGACGCCTGTATATTTAGAGTTTGTGTGTTCTCCCTGTGGCCGCGTGGATTTTTTTCCCTCCACATTTAGAATCCACGTGCGTTTTCGAGTACTCGGCTGCTATAGATTTCTACATAGGGCCACTACGTTGAGCTATCATTTGTGGACAGGTCGCTTCTAAAAAAAATCTGTATAGCTCAGTGGGGCCTTACCCCAGCAGTCTGCTAAAGGCTTTACGGTGGTGGGGTGGGTCTTTGCCTCCATGTGTGCGTGCGTGTTCAGGTGGCTGCGCTCAATCTCCGTGATCCTGTTCTTGAACAAGCAAGACGTCCTGGCCGACAAGGTGCTGGCCGGGAAATCCCGTATCGAGGACTACTTCCCCGAGTTCGAGCGATACACCGTGCCTGACGACGGTGAGCCTGGCGGGGGGAGGGGCGGGTAGGGGGGGCTCTGTGGGGGGGGGGGGGCGGCTCTAGGAAGGCTCTGTTCTCAGAAGGGTGGGCGGGGGGGTTGGGTGATGGGGCGAGGTGGGGGGGGGGGTAATCCAGGGGCCGTTCGAGGAAGTGTTGTGATTGGTCAGTGGAGGGGGGCTAAACGAGAACAGAGTTCTCTTCTGCCGGTTGGAGAGCCCAGCCACACAACCACGGCTCCTTTAAAAACAACTAAACATTTTCGACGCGTGGCACGCCCCCGAACCGCCTGACGTTACGGGAGGGTGCGTGCTCACGCGTGCTGAGGCCCCGCGCAGCTTGCTGTTGCCTTGGTGCAGGGTTGGCCGTTCTTCTTTCGAACAAAACCGGTGGGGTGTGTCCGGAGACCCGGCTGCAGTGCAGCGGCTACCGCATTCCCCCACGCTTCTATTACCGCTCACGGCCAACACCAGTGTGTGACGGTTAACTGAACCGGTCCTGGGTCGTCTCCGCTAGGCCGGTGTGTCAACATCGCCACCGGGGAAACAAAGGCGGCCGGGCGTGGTGGTGGCCACCCCACCCCCCTCTTGTGCCGTGCCGGCCTTCATAGGTCCTGCTCCGCTAACAGCGCTTGCCCCAACAGTCTGTTAAAGGCTACACGGGGGGGGGGGGATCTTCGTGTGTGTGTGTGACCATATATGTATGTGTCTGACCGTCCATGTGTGTCTGCGTGCGTGTGCAGCCACCTCCGACGAGGGCGAGGATCCCAGAGTCACGCGCGCCAAGTTCTTCATTCGAGACGAGTTCTTGGTGAGAAATGACGGTGACTGCATCCGACGGGGCGGATGATTGTGAGAGTGGTCGTGACCGTCGTTTTCGCCGGAGATGAGTATTATTGGAGACGGGCAGCAGATGGGAGGTGGTGATTATTGAAGTAGATTGTGACGGTGTTGGTGGTGCCGCTGATCTATGTGTGTACTGTACGTTGAACGTCTTTCACGCCGTGCGTAGCCAAGCGTGGTAATCGGAGGTGCCGGGGAAGGACAACAAACTAACACGCAACAACAACAACAACAAAGCCGTTCTATATAAATTAGTTTGCCAAACTAGATGGTGATTTAAACGTGTGTGGCTCCCAGTGGCTTCCTAATAACGGAAGGAAGAGCGTTCCAGACGGCCGCAGAAGCGCATCCGAAAGCGCCGCGCGATGATGCGGTGACCGTCCTCAAGGGTGACATTGAGCAGGATTATCGTACTTGGTACAGCCGCTGTGTTGATCCGCTGCTGTATGAGGTCCCCCCTCCTCCCACGCAGGGTTGGTCGTATGTGGTGGGAGGTGGGGTAGGTGGGGGGCGATGGGTTTGACCGTACTTCACCACGCTTGTCAGTGCAACTTTATGAAGGCCAGGGACAACACGAGGGGGTGGGGGGGGGGTGGTGGTGGCCCGGTGGGGGGTGGCCCGGTGGGGGTCACCCATCCAAGCACCGTCCGGGCTCAACCCTGATTGGCTCCCGAGGTGTGACGGTGACCAAGCGACAACGGTGGCCGGCGATAGCGGCACGTCCGTGCCGATTGTGGTGTGGCGGTGATGATGGCGTTGGGCGCTGTTGGTGGCGTTCATGGCGATTGATGGGTGCTTTTGCGGCGTGTCGACAGTGTGGACGGTGACGTTTGTAGTGGCAGTGGCGGCGTTGATGATTTGCGATGGTGTCTAAAGCAGCTACGTCTATCGATGGCATCCGAATGCCAACAGTACTGCGTGTATCGTCGGTGCTGCGCCCATCAACGGTGCCCCCCCCCCCCCGGTGGCGAGATTATCCTTCTCGCCTGGTATGCAGGGGGTCGTGGGTTCCGTTGAGCTATCGTTTGTGGTAGCCAGGTCGCTTCTGAAAGAGAGCTATACAGCTCAGTGGGCCTTACCTGGTAAAAAGCTAAATAGTAGTAGTGGAGTAGTCGTACTGTCGGCGCTGTACGTACTGTCGGCACTGTGCGTACTGTCGGCACTGTGCGTACTGTCGGCGCTGTACGTACTGTCGGCGCTGTACGTACTGACATGCACACCCGGTGCATCACTGACGGCGCTACCCACGGTGCCGCTCTCCCTTCGCAGCGCATCAGCACGGCGAGCGGGGACGGCCGCCACTACTGCTACCCGCACTTCACGTGCGCCGTCGACACGGAGAACATCCGGCGCGTCTTCCAGGACTGCCGTGACATCATCCAGCGCATGCACCTGCGCCAGTACGAGCTCTTGTGACGCCCCACCCCCCTCCCCCCCCCACACACCACCCCCCTCCCCGCCGGCGCCCGCCCTCGCCGGGCCCCCGCCGGAGCAACGGCGACCGCGACGCCGCCAGCTCGGCAAAACCACCGTCGCCACGACCGCCACAGCCACCGCCGACGGCGGCGACGGCGACGGCGACGCCACCGTCCTCCCCTTCCTGGCGCGTCGGCACAATCGTTGTTGTAGCTACGGTAACGGTTGGCGGTGCCGGCGACCGTGAAATCGGTGGCGTCGAGTTATGGAAAGGGCGCGGTCCGGGGGAGGGGGGGCGGCAGGCCGACGGTTTTGGCGGTGTTCCCATCGGCAAGCCGTCGACATCGCAATCCATACCCCCCCCCCCCCCCCCCATACTTCACCATTCGCCAACCTTCGTCACGACACTTGCCACCATCACCCACAGTTCCCCCCGCCCCCCTCCGCCTGCCCCCCACCTTGTCTCACCCCGATCACCCCCCCCCCCCTTTCCCGGCACTTCCCCAACCCGACCCCCACCTGTGTGTGTCGACGCTGCCCCCCCCCCCCCTCCCCCCCTCCACGTGTGCGTGTCTGCGCGTGTGTGTGTACATATATACATATATACACTTAAGTTATTTACTGCCTCATTTTGCTGTGATGTTGGAGCGGGCGAGGTATAGCATTAGGAGCCGGGGGGGGGGGGGGTGTCACTGTTTCCATTTTATTTATTCAAAACACGAGAGACCTTATTGTTATTCGTAGACGGATTAATCATTCTAGTCACAGTCAGATTTATTATTATCCTTAAGATGTTTGTTAGATGGTTTGGGGAGGGGGAGGATACTGGATGGAGGTGGATGGGGGCTTGCATTGGACCCTCAGCCTATTAGAGGGGTAAGGCCCCCACGCCAGAGTGGCATTCGCATAGCCCAACAATCTTAGCGGGGGGGTTGGGCGGGTAGGTTTGGGGTGTTGAGACATTCGAGGATTGGAGGGGGGGGCAGTGTGTAAGGATGTGTGGGCAGCAGGAGGACGGTAGGGCGACAGCATTTATTTCAACTTCTGTTTGGTGTAGAGAACAAGAGAGACGGAGTGTTTGCGTGTGTGTGGCGAGTGTGTGGTGTGTGCGTGCGCACGCGCCGGTGTCTGTACGTTGCGTTGTACATACGCCGCGCTTCGGGCGCGTGGTGTACATACGTACTTACGAACGACTGCGCGCGTGCGTGAGAGGGTTGTGTACATACACGGTGTGTGCGTGCGTGTGCGAGCAAGCGAGAGCAGTGTACATAGTGCGTGCGTAGGTCTGCGTGCGTGCGTGCGTGCGTGTGTACGAGAGCTTGTGTGCTGTACATAGAGGTGGTGTGCGTGCGTGCGGTGATCAGAAGTCGGCCGTGCCCAGCGAAGCTGTAGACACTCCTGGCGCACAGCCGCGTCCCCCACTCCCGAAGTCCTGCCCTGCCACCACCACCCCTCCGCACCACCCATCCCATCCCACCTCTGAACCCCCGCCCGCCGATCCGCCCCCCCCCCCTCTTCCTCCGCCGACCGTGCAAGGCCCCCCCCCCACCCGCCCCCCTGTATAGAATGTATCATCACCGAGTCACACTTTATTTATGGTTTCTTTTGTACAAATATGTGTTGAGACGAAAACAAAAAATACTGTATATGCTTTCCGTGCCTTGACCCCCCTCCCCCCCCACACACCCCTGACGTGACCTGTGCTGCTGCTGCTGCGCAGGCACCTTTACGTCGCGTCCGTGCGTGCGTGCGTGCCCGTGTGCCCGTACGTGCGTGCCCGTGCGTGCGTGCGTGCCCGTGCGTGCGTACGTACGCACGCGAGCACGTGTCCGTGCGCGCGCATGGGCGTCCGTGCGTGCGTACGGGCGTCCGTGCGTGCGCGAGTGTGTGTGTGTGTGTGTCTGCGCGTGCGAGTGTGTGTGTGTGTGTGTGTCTGCGCGTGCGAGTGTGCGAGTGTGTGTGTCTGCGCGTGCGCGAGTTTGTGTGTGTGTGTGTGTCTGCGCGTGCGTGGAGGCTGTCCCGCGGAGTCGTTGCGACCGGTGGAATGAGGTGGTGGGGGAGGGGGAGGTAGCGGGGGCCTGGGTGGTGGCTGGGGGGCGCAGTTTGTTGAACAGTGGCGGTGCTCGGCACAAGAAAACCTATATGCTCAACTTCAAATCCTGACAACCGTAACGAAGCGAAATGACGTACAGAGACGATGCTCACCTCCCTCTCTCTCTCGACCGCAGATCTCGCATCTTGCCCATGGTTGTGCTTCATCCGCATCTCTCGTCTGGCATCTCGCTCGTCTCTAATCTCGCTCGGCATTCATACGTTGAAAAGGGTTGGGCGTGGAGTGGGGGGCTTCAAAATAATTTCTGCTTAGGGCCCCCCCCCCCCCACAGCAATGGGCCAGCACTGCCACTGTTGGTGATGTCCAAGGTGACCCTCCCTAGCATACGGGGGGGAATGGGGTAGATGGGCGAGTTGTGGGGGGTACTGGCAGGTTGAGGGGAGCTTCTTCACCTCCCGTACCTCCCTCCCTCGAACTGTCCGTGTCCCTCCAGACCCCCTCGTTGCTAGGCGTTGGCACCTCAGCCGCCACCTCCGTACCCCCCCACCCAGTTAGACTTGGCAGCCGCCCCCACTACCCCCCCCCTACCCCCCCATCATCGTCCAGGGGCTGCGACCCTTTGGGAGCGGAGGGGGGGGGCAAACGCCCCCCCCCCCCTCTCTCTGTGTGGATGGGGGGCGGCGGCGGCAGTGCGGTTGCCGTGTAACCGCACTGCCGCCCCCCTCTCCCCGTCTCTGGATGGGGGGCGGCGGCGGCAGTGCGGTTGCCGGGTAACCGCACCAGCCGCGGGGCGAGCGCGACGTCTCGCTCGCCGATTTGCGAGGACAATTCAGGAAGGCGGCGGTGGCAGCGGTTGCGCCGACCGACCGACCGATTGGCTGGCGAGGGGGACTGCCCTTGTTTGGTCGAGTCGGTCGGGTTTCGTGTTCTTTATTTTGGTTCGTCCTCGTTGGTGGCGGGGGCGACGATGGGACGAGAGGGATGTTGCCCTAACGGGCGGGGAGGCGGAGTAGAGGGGTTTGCGGTCGCGTTCCGTCGTGCGGCGCACAGCTCCTCCGACGTGCGGTTGCGCTGCGGGGTGGTGGCGGGGAGGGGGGGGAGGGAGGCGGCGCGCCACGTCCCGACGTTTCGCCCCACGCGCCCGCCGAGACGTCGCGCCGCCGTCTCGGGGAGCCCGCGGCGAATCGCGGCTGAACCCCCGACGACGACGGCGACGCCGACCGTCGGGGGTTTTTGATCTCCTCGCCGAATTTTGGTTTCGCGTCCCCGGGGGTCGCTGGCGGGGGTCGGCTTAACCGGGCGGTCGCGGTCACCGACCCTGGACTGGCTCGGCTGAAATTAAACCCCGGCGGTGGTGGTGGTGGTGGTGACGATGACACGGCCCCCCACCCTCCCTTTATGCCTCCCCCCACCACCCCAGCCCCCTCCTACCCCCCCCCCCCAGCCGCCTTCGTTTACACGAGGCCCACTTAATATTTAAGCTCGTAAAACTATATTAGTAACCAGTAATAATAACAATAATAATTAATGTTTGATGATGATGATGATCACGGAGACGATGTGTAGCGGATTATACGTAGCCAACGCGGCGGCGGGTGCAACGCGCGTCTGTAGGTGTGCGTGCGCGCGTGAGAGGGAGGGTGAGGTGAGAGGGAGGGTGAGGTGAGAGGGTGAGGTGAGAGGGAGGGTGAGGTGAGAGAGAGAGGGTGGGGTGAGGTGAGAGGGAGGGTGAGGTGAGAGAGAGAGGGTGAGGTGAGAGGGTGAGGTGAGAGAGAGGGTGAGGTGAGAGAGAGAGGGTGAGGTGAGGTGAGAGAGAGGGTGAGGTGAGAGGGGGTGAGAGAGGGATGGTGAGGTGAGAGAGGGAGGGAGGGAGGGTGAGGTGAGAGAGGGAGGGAGGGAGGGTGAGGTGAGAGGGAGGGTGAGGTGAGAGAGAGGGTGAGGTGAGGGAGAGGGTGAGGTGAGAGATGGTGAAGTGAGAGCGAGGGTGAAGTGAGAGCGAGGGTGAGGTGAGAGAGGGAGGGTGAGGTGAGAGAGGGTGAGGTGAGGGAGGGAGAGGATGAGAGGGAGGGTGAGGTGAGAGGGAGGGTGAGGTGAGCGGGAGGGTGAGGGAGGGAGAGGGTGAGAGGGAGTGTGAGGATGCAAGGTTCAGGTGAGTGCGGGTATGAGAAAGAGGGTAAGGTGAGAGAGATGAGGCGAGAGCGGGGTGAGAGTGGGGGGTGAGGAGTGCGGGAGTGTTGACAGTGTACGTGCGTGCGAGTGAGAGCGTGTCGGGTGAGGTGTGGGTGAGCGCGTATGGTGAGAGGTGAGGTCGGGGAGTAGTGAGGTGTGGCGAGTGGTGGGGGGGGGGAGTGGGTTGTGAGTTGAGAGTGAGCGAGAGGAGTGTTTTACTGCGGGGCGGGCGGAAGGGTGGCGCTGCATTGGTGACGCTCGTGCCTACACAGCAGGGCACACCGAGGTTCGATTCACAACTCGGATGCCTTTCGGCGTTCTTCTCCCCCCCTGCTCTGCATGGGTTTCCTCCCGTTGCTAAATAAGTCGTCCCGTAGCTAAACGAAAACCACACAGCGCGTGCAATGTAACTTGACATTGGCCAAACATCCCAAAGCCGAAACATTCCCTGCAAATTACTCCATTGGGATTAACGCAGCGGAGGCACCAACATCGCGCCCTGACCCCGAGTCTCAAGAGTCTTGACACTCGGCGATGCTGTCCGTGAGTAAACAAACCTCGTCGGAAGTAGGGTGAGGATTGTGTGTGAGGTGAGCGGTGAGTGGCGTGAGTGAGGAGCGCATGATTGGGGTGGGGAGGGGGGGTGTGAGGCGACTGAATGTGTGGTGAGGTGTGTGGTGAGTGTGAGGTGTGTGGTGAGTGTGAGGTGAGGGTGCGTGGCAAGTGTGAGGTGTGTGGTGAGTGTGAGGTGTGTGGTGTGAGGTGTGTGGTGAGTGTGAGGTGAGAGTGCGTGGTGAGTGAGCTGGATTGGATTTGGAACCTGGACCCCCCCCCCCCCATCTCCCCCCCCCCCCCCCCTCTGCTTCCACTCAGCAGAGCGCGAACTCCCCTCTCCCTCCACGCACCAGGAGTTCATGTGAGGGGTTCATGGGCGGTTCACTCTTGATGAGGGAGTTCATGTTTGGGTGTTCATGCGTGAGGAGTGTGTGTGGGGGGGGGGGGGTTCATGTGGGTATTCATGTTCGGGGTTCATGTGTGTGTGTGAGTGATTCACCTGTGGGAGTGCATGTTTTGACTGTTCATGTATGCGGGATTCATGTGTGAGTGTTCATGTTAGGGCAGGGGTTAATGCTCGGGAGTT